ACAAATTGCACGTTAACATTTCCACTTTTTCTCCTGTACAAAATGGCTTAATTAGAATTTCAATATGACGTTTCGTCTCTTGTCCTCCAGCATCAACTTTATTTTTTTTTATTGACGCTATATTGGATTTTTGCACAGATGTATATAGAATTCTGATTTCATTACTTTGTCATTGCCAAAGGCGAAGACGAAGATGACATAATTAGAATTTCCCTTTTCATCAACTTCATTTCATTTCATAACTCTAGTTATTTCTTTATACCGAAGCAGCCGCGCAGGCAGAAGCCTAACAGCCGGGGGACACCGCGGCTGCTATTCTAGTTATTCCAGAAAAGCATAAAGTGCCTTGGTAAATGCAAAACAATAGCAAACATCGACTTCATTTTTACAAAAGACAGATCACTATTATTGTTTTTCAACCTCTCCTCATCTCGTTCTTTCTTCTTTTTATGTTATTTATCTAACGAATCTTCTTGGATTTCCTTACGTTTTTCCAATTTCTTGCTCTGTTTCTCCACTTCTGTTTTCAATCTTCGATATTTTTCTGTACGGTACACCATCAACCATGTTAATCCTTCTCCAAGCAAAGCTGTGCAGATTGAAATGAACACAATCAGTAATGTATCAGCCCACATCTTTCTATTTTCAAAATTGTCCTCCTTGCTAAAGCAATCTTTATTTTCAGATATCCTTTGTGTCTTATACCAGACCAAACCTCGAATTATACGTGGCAACATAGTTTGGGAGACCGACGAGAAAAGACATAAGGCAAGCAGTGAAAAATCTACAGGGGAGAGTCAGGCTTTGAACATCTACCATGATTCACCTCTGCTTATTTAGTATTACCATCACCATCAATAAAATTTGTATTTTGTGGTCACTTTTCACCATACCTTTTTATTTCCTTATAATTTTTGCCCAACAACAAATTCATAGCCAACTAAGGTAATACATCACTGGATTTAGGACCGAAAAGTCCATTTAAATCTACAAAATTCCGATATAGTGTCCATATGAAAAAACGAAGTTGATGGAAGTCCAAGGAAGAAAAGTCGATTCGAAAATCTGAGTACGCCATCTTGTAGAGGACTTCTCCTGTTACTTCTAACAATGACAGTATGCAATTTATTTTGCAATCCCATCTTAAAAAAGGCCAGGAAGAAATAAAAGTGGTTTTGGGATAAATCTGGTGTATTAAACAAATAACTAGCTGAGAATTTCAAGGCCTACCTGGAAACGTCTGCTTTTTGGAAATAACTAAGGTTTGACAATATCAATGATGCTGATTTATACATTTTTGGAATCAGAATTGAAAACTATTCACCCGTGTAATCCAATATGGCGTCCAAGAGAAAGAATAAAGTTGATGCTGAATGACAAGAGACGTAGGGAAGAGAAAGTAGCAATGTTAATGTGCAATTGATTTTAAGACCCCACTACAAATAGTCAGCAAACTATTAAAACGATTTTGGCAAAACTAGATTTTTTCCGTCTTTGTAGTACTTTCTAAGCGGCATTTTGTTAATTACCTAAAGAGAGGCAAACTATTGAAGGGACTTCTACAGTTTCCGAGGGGTGAGGGTCGAATTTGAAACACCCTGTATAATAGGTTAAACTGCATAAGAAAAAATACGTAATCATTATTACAGTCTCTAGTGATATTGGAAAAGATTTGATTCATATCTATCAATGAACAGTATGCAGAGTAGGTCAAGTTTGGGTAAAAAAATGGAGCTTTTTGCTTTTTAAATACCTTCACGTATTCACGTCGTTAATTTTTTGTGATTATGTGATTTAAACATCAGCATTGGAAACTTGCTATTTATCAGTTTAAAGCTACATATTTTCTTAGAAAGCATCGACTCCACTGGTAGATTTATGGTGTAAGTTCCAGTTATTTGGAAATACTGATGTTGCTATTGGTCTTTGATACCCTATACCTGTCGCCTGTCGACCACCTTCTTTGGGTGTCAAAGCTGACATTGCTTGGACCTTTGTCGTAGATTATATGCTTTCCTTTTATGTCGTTGAGAAATTCTGAGAATACGAAACCTTAGGAGGAACACTTACGAGAGGGTTTGAAGTGCGATCTACTTCAGAATAAACAACTTTGCTTAAAAACAAAATTGTTTTTTACTTGGCAACATGGCTGAAACGATGGTTGCTCTAATTGCACTTCCAAATACAGCATCTGGTTACGAACCTTGGACTATATGTTTCATTTAACTATAGAGCGCTGCTCTTCTTTTTTTATATGAAAGAAGTCGTGCAGGCAGAAGCCTAAATATCAGGGCACGGGGGCTGCTATGAGGCGTCTGAAGAAACTTAGTTAATCGGATTTTTGGACTGCCTAAGGTTAGAAGAACTCCTCAGGTAGATTGTTCCACACTGTCGATATCCTAGGTACCAATGAATGGTCGCATCGACCAGTTGTGGATGTACGAAGTTCGACATCGTTAGGATGAGAGCAAAGTATACGAGCCCCTTCCCACTTCAGTTGGCCCAACTATTGAAATCTTAGTTTTTTTCTTATCAAACACAAATAATAAAAATGTAGCAGGGTGTTATAGGTTTAAAATATTAACAATGAATATTATGTAGTAATGTAGTAATATAGTAGAAAACACCAACTTTATCACTCCCTAATCAAATTTGCAGCCTAAAAATAACACATGTTGCAATAATTACAGCATATCAACCTATTTTCATTTCAATGCTAAATAAGTCTATAATGCATAGGTGGCTGTGAAAAATAAAAGCCATGACAATTGTTTTTATTAATCACAGCTGTCAGAATACGTTTAAAATAGTTGGGTAGTTAAGGTTTTCAAAATGGGCAGAGGAAAGGTTATTAGTGAGAAAATTCGGTTACTGGTAATTAAATTTTTTAATTCTGGGAGATCAAACTCAGAAATTGCAACTTTGTTAGACTTACCGCGGTACGGTGTGACAAGTATTGTAGAAGATATAACGTAACTGGTTCAGTTAATATTAAGCCACGATATGTGAAAAAAGGTAATATCATGCCGACCGAAGAGTATTAAGAAGAATAATCGTGAAAAACAGGCATGCCAATTATTTACAATTAAGTGCTCTGTGGAGTGACGATGTTGGAAGGAGAATTTCGAGGTCCACAACTCATAGAGAGGCCCAGAAACTGGGATTTAGCACTTGCAAGGTAAGTTTTCTTATAAAAAAAAGTGAAGTAAAAACCGTAAAGTTGCACAACTTGTTTATAGGCCAAAGAAAAGCCACTATTAACTCCACTGTAAAAGAAAAATCGGCTTAGATGGGCTAAAGAACACAGACAATGGACACCTCAACAATGGTGTGCAATACAATTCGATTCGAAGTTTGTATTGGTGACAGTCGCAGTAGAGTTATTCGCAAAAAAAAATGAAGCATTCTATGTTGACTGTCTGAAGAGAAAAGTGAAATTTCCAGCATCCATTATGGTCTAGGGCAGTATGTCATCAAAAGGAGTAGGAAAACTTCATTTTATTGATGGAAATGTGGATACAAACAAATATTTGGCAATTTTAGAAGAATCGATTTTACCAGTGATGGAAGAATGTTTGACATCCGGCCAAGATTTTGTGTTTCAGCAAGATGGTGCAGCGTGCCATACCTCAAAAAAGGCTATAAAGTGGATGGAAGAAACTAATGTACCACTGTTGAAATGGGTTTCTAGCAGTCCAGATCTGTCACCTATTGAAACTGTGTGGCACGAGATGAAAAAGGTTCTACGATAACATCCTGCTCGTAAAATCACCGAACTGAGACAAAAGCTTCAAGGAATATGGGATTGTTTTACAAAAAGCTTTTGCCAAAACTTGGTTAACACTGTGCCCCAAAGAATTTCAGCCGTAATATAAAATAAAGGTGATGTTACCCAATGGTAATCTTTCAATTGTTGCTTTGTTAACTTTGCGCATTTATTCCCACATTGTTTATTTGATCAGATGTTCTATCAGTTACAGGTCTAAGTATTTCAAATATATATTTTTTACGACTAGTGTGTATCTAAAATGTTTTTGAGAAAATAAATTATTTTAGAAGTAAATAGTTTAGTTTATAAAGGCATATTTTGGTACACATCTTGAAGTGGGCCAACTAAAGTGGGAAGGGGCTCGTAGAGAGTGAAACAGCAAACTGTCTGGTGGAACTGTATTCCAGTTCGCACCTAATAGCCGGGTCACCACTAGTAATATAGCTTTCGTCGATCCGACCATTATGATCAGTTGTTTTCTGCTCTTTGGCAACTCATTAGCGTAGTCTAGGTGAGCAGACCGTATCTTCTATACAGTGGCCATGCGGCTGTCAAATGTAAACTGGGATACAGTTTTCAAGAGACAACTTGCTGTTTCAGTCTCACAGTTGTCGATTCTGGTAATAGATGGCACATTGAGCTGCCTAATTCTTATAGACCTTATATACTGGATAAAGGACAATTGCTCAGCTCTCGTTAGTTATCCTGTCTGAGACCAAGCCCAGACAATGCGGTTGAATTGCATCAAAAAGAAATCCATGGACGTTTGTGATCGGACGAACAAAAGCCGTATTATAAGTTTGTTAGAATTAGCCTGTTCAGCTCTTTTACCCGAAACCGACTATCAAAGCTTTCCTAATTCTAAAAGGAAGATGCAATACTTGGAAGGCTTTGCCATCTGATATGCTTTCATATTACGCAGTATGTAACATAACTATTCCAGATCTAATACAATTATAAGTTTCATAGAGGTGTTAAAAGTGACAGTACTCGATAACTAAATCCTTGAAAACACGCCAAATAAAAGCAGCTAAAAAACCAAACCCCTTCGCATTCCATAACACGCCGCCGAGGATAATTACATTATAACAGATACATGTCAACCAGGGAGTTGATTCTTCGCGATTTGCAACCCAAATCACTTATGCTTACATGCACTGGTACTAACCGCAATAAACAAACAAAGAAAACCAATCAACCAAGACCTTGTTAAAGCGTTTACGTATAAATACCTAATTCAAACACATTTTCCAACTCAGTTTACATCTCACCGTCTTAAAAATGTCACGGTACTTCATCTTGTTCTGTACCATCAGTACTATCAGTGCGATCGAAGTGGTGCGGAGGCCGATGTACCACTATAGGTACGAGACGGAGGACATGATGAAGGCAGGATCGAAACATATACCTGTCCATGGATACCACGTGGTAGAAGGAGGATACTTCCCTGAGGAGACTGGACAGATTGGACACCACGTGGGGATGCCTGCTTTCATGGGAAGTCCCGGGTTTGGAAAGCTTTACACTACTCCTATTGCCCTTGAAGGCATGCATCACGGGTTTGAAGCTCCGCATCATAACATCCACTATAGTCATCCTGGAATAATTGGTTAGTAATTATGTAATGTTACATAGGAGAAAGTTTTGCTGAAAGCTTCTATAACCTCAACATTGAACCATCACTCTATTCTGCCTACACTGTAAGATACTTTCAAGCTTAAGCACATCCAGTACACCTTCTAAATAGTTTTATTTTTTGTTCTTTTATGGCATAAGCACTAAGTAGTTAGTTAACTATTCCTAGCTAGGATCGCTTCTTTTATAGCTGCTGCTTAGCCATGAGGCTTACTGAGTACAATTCTTGAGGAAATAAATGTTCCTGAACTGTATTTACTTGCAAACAGAACTGAAACTCAAGGTGGGTTCTGGCTAACACTTTGGCTTCATCTGATGCAGTCTTCCATCACTACCAGGTCTAAGTTTAAATCTATTTTTGCTAGATCTGATTTCATGCTATTCCATCATCTAGAGATGCTTTACCAGCTGATGCCATAGATGGAAGAGGCAGTCATCGTTGGGTCTTTGGACATGGCCAGCTTGGCCAGACTTCTTGGACAGGATCACTATCATCAAACAACTGCTTGATTTCGATGTTTGTTTTTATGCGATATTCGTCTGTATTTGGATCGTAGTGAGGTCAAAAGAAATGGGCTGTTCATTACTGGCTTTCGTCCACATTTCATAGCCATACATCGCAATGGATATCTAACGATATTAGAAATCCTGATCCTAGAGAAGACTATGTGATATCTCGATCTAATAGAATTTTCCAGAGATAACATGCACCGCTCGCAGATTGGACTCCCTTGGCTTTTTTTGGGAGTGATCGTTGATTCGACGTACTCAACTATGCCCAACGTTTTTTCTCGAAGTTTCATCAGAGAGAATAACAGCTTACTTTGTCGCTTGACGAATCATCTAAAGTGGTTGTCTATCTGATCAGGCTTCATTCCAAATGAAACCACAAAAGTAGATTTACATGATTGAATTCCATTTGGCAGCCCATTGTACATGGAGAACACTTTGTGGCTTCTTTTATGACATTCCTTAGACAACAAGTTGAATACGCTCATCTTCAATTTCCTTTGGCGATTTAAGGATCACGCAGTGCTGTCTTTGATATATACATATAAACCTGTTGTCATCTAACTTTTTAAAACTCATATTCAAAGGATGCTAATTAAATTGATATCTTATTTGTTACAACTATTATAACTAAAAACGTGACTCACCTAGAGATAACGTAAATCCAATAGATTTACTGTCATGTATCCAATTTGCTTGCTTGCCACACTGTTATAATGCTTTATTCTGTGCTTGCTTCTGCCAATATGGATAATTTTGCAGCTCAAGCAAAGTAACATTCTTCTCATATGCCCAGCTAGTCGAACTATCATATCAGGCAGCCTGGGATTTTGTCAGGCATCATCAGTATCTGGATGCCTGGGGCATGATGCGTAACCTTGGTCACGTGATCCTGTGTTCCATCTTCACGGTGATGATTTTAGGGCTTTTATATCTTCAATGTCTTCGGTCTCAGGTCTTCGCTAGTCCAATATACCAAGAAGTGCGGTAACAAGTCTTCTTGCGGTTGCTGTTGCCATATAGATATTGTTAAAGTTTTCAAACGATACATCATACTTTGAAGATTGTCATGCGGAAGTGGAGAGCTTAACTGTAGACATAATTTGTTTTAGGTTTTAAAAAAGAGATCGGAGGCGAAGAAGAAGCCAAAGAAGAGTTCAACAAGGGAGGAAAGAAGTACGGAGGAGAACATTTCGAGAAAGCTGTGGGAAAGAAGTCTGACGAGGAGCATAAAGGAGAAGAAGGATACGTTAAGGCTGCTGAAGGATCGGTAGCGGAAAAAGGCGATAAAGGTCATGCAAAGGAAGAACATTCTTCTAAGGAAGCACATGAGAAGGAGAAGGAGTATCATGGAGGAGAGCATTATAAGAAAGAAGGTAAGATCTTTGTTGATTTATAACGTATCTAAACAGCTCAAATTGTCGACCGCTATATTCATACGAAGAAGGAGGAAAGAACTATATATAGACGTTTTTTGGTGGTCAAGCTGCGCAATTTTTTGTCTTTTGAGTGGTGTCTAAGCCCTAATATTAAAAGTGATCTTAATTATCTGACTATAGATCATGATTTTGTTATGGAACGATAGCTTTGACTATCTTCTCAATAACAAATAGTATTGGCTATAACGGAGATTCAGTTCTTTCCTCTTTCCTCATTCCCCTTCTTTTTGATAGTTATTGCTTCAACTTGAGCCTGGTGTCGAATGCCACTCTCATTATCGCTTGTTTAAGAGGGAATTGTCAACCTTTGGTTCGTAAAGCAAGCGTGGATTGATTTCAATTTGTTCAGTTCGATTTTACACCTCTGGCTCCATTTGCTAGCAGTCTTTAGTTTATTGACAAAACTTAATAGATCTTTGTCAGTTGCAACCGATACTGCAAAACTGTTACATTGGCTTAAGCGGGAATATCTGATTTCATCCAAATCAATGTGGAATTTCAAGTAGACGCTAGAATATATAATAGGGATAAAACCCATCTCATGTAAACACCAAATCTTAGAGGTCAGAAATGTGATGAAACAGTGAAACTTCAGGTAGCCCACGAGTAGCCTACGTAGATGTGAAAATGAAACCATCAATACTACGATTCAGGGTGAATCTTCTTGGCAGCGCAATGCTTCTAGAAGGAAATCTAACAGATACTTCTCCTAGTAGGATGAACTAACAAATTCACCATCTGCAGCTATGAAATGCATCAACATACTCTCGATTCATATTGAGTTCAGTCATCTTATGACCTCAGACATTTCGGTCGCAGACATACTATGTCTCAACCGTTACAACATTACACAATACTGTTAGCTCACCAAAAGATGAAAGAAAAAATGTAAACACGATCAAGTTCACTGTCAAATGAAACTTACTGTCTGTTACCGTAGAAGGTGAAATCAACCGTATGGTTCCGCTCCAATAAAATATTGATACGTATCAAAATCCAGCATCACATTAAAAATTCTTCGGACGCGTAGCGTGGCATTATAAGGTTTGTTTGAACTTGTACGTAATATGATCTCAGGCAGACAGATTTTATAACTTTTTAAAAACTGTGTCTCTAGCTATGAATAACGTAATGTAATTAATGACATATTTAGGTCAATTTCGGCAAAATTTAGGCAAGTAGTTTCCATGAAAGGTGTTTTGGAATAGTTTCAAGAGAGTTATAGTCATTAGGAGTTAAACATACCAACTGAATTGAAAATAAAATATCCAATACCACAGCTAAAACAAACTAATCAAATAATAAATTGAAGGAGACATGTCGACATATGGAGTCTTACAAAAAATGACATTCCGAAGATCAAAATTGCACGAAGTTCAACATAATAAGGTTATTTTTTTGTTGAAATAAATTAATTTGAGAGATCATTTTTAGTTTAGTTCTTCATTTAGCTAAGCTATTGATGTGTGAAAGGTTGTCTTAGGTTTTTGTTGTATTGCACTTGGACTACAGACGAATACTTAGTCGTACACGTATTCCAGCAATTTGGTGCAGATTTGGTTGACTATAAAGTTTTTGGGAAGTTTGAAAATGTTATGGTTATACAGTGGCTGTCAAACAGGTCGTCCTTTCATATTTGTTTGAAATTAGCTTAAATTTTGAATGGTAAAATTGTTTCATGAAAACTACACTTTACCGTAAAACTGACAGCTAAAAATGGCCGCAAAGTATCAACTTGAAACGGGGAACTATCATATGATATCTCTTTTGAGGCTTTTCATAACCATGAAATAAAAAATCATTGTCTTGCAAAAGTGGCGGGCTGTCCAGGTTGAGCGTTATTACACATCGAATTGCTTGTAACTAAATAATCAATGATCATAGTATTTTCATAGAAAGTTCTATCCGAACGGGTAAATAATGGTCAATTGTTGAGTTGTAAACGATTCAATGTATAGAAAGCTCAACTTTGACAATCCGCAACTTCGCCATTTTGGAAGATAGTAAATTTATGCTCTAGGGTTGCAAAGTACTTATGAACTCACTATTCCATTTAAAAAAATTGTCGAACAGGATTAAAGAAAATATACTCGATAAACTTTGTTGCACCGGTCGCGGAAACTATGCGATTTGGAAAAAATATTTTTACATAAATTGCAGAAAATTACCCTTAGGTTGATTCGCGATACATAGAGCTAATTTTTTCGAAAAGAAAAAATATGGAAACGAAGATGGACAAACATGGTTTAGGCACTTTTTTGATCGCTATTTGTCAAAAAGTGGCTAGAGCAGAAAATATAACGTGGAGCTAGGTGAAGATTCGAAATCTATAGACGCATTAACTTTTCAAAACATTCCTGGTATCGTCTGGTCACTGTAATAACTAAATCGAAAATGATCAACAAAAGATATCCTATCATATACTAAGCAGTAATAACGAGGGCTAACAAGGATTTCTTTCTCCGCACTGTATGAGGTCCAGATAAGACCTAGCCTCAAGTGTGGTTCACATGTTTGGGGTTCTGCTGCCCCGACCACTTTAACTGTTCGATGTCAATCAATGATTCGTCTCTTACGGACAGCCTCGTGACCCTTTTGCACCGTCGGTCGGTCAACGATTTTTCTCTCTTCTACCGCTATGTCAACATGCTTTGCGCCTTAGAGCCTCTGCGTGTTGAATTTGCCAGATGGACTTGCTTAGCTTCCATCCCAGCACTGTTGACCTTCACACATCGAGAACTGCCCAACTAACAATTATCACTCCTATTAGAGTTGCAAGAATGATTATACAGTATTCCTTACACAGCATTGTATAACATTGGCAAAACCCTCTTAGAACAGCTATACAAGCGGAATGGGCACACCTAATCGGACACTTCAGTCATTTAAGAGGTTGTATAAAGGCTGCATGTAACAGTTATAGGTACAACAAAAGTGTAAGCCTCTTGCAGCCGCTATAGGACATTTGCGTCAGTGCAAGATTCAGTTTTTGTCAACTATACAACTGTTCTGATTCTACTTTATCGCAACCAAACTATTTCTTATGTATTGTATAGACGAAGTGAAGAATATATAACTAATACATTACAGTCATCTTGTTTACTTACAGATCGGCCATTATGAATTTCATACACAGGTATATGATAAACTTTTACACTGTGATATAGGGCTATTGAATTACTTGCGCAGCAAATTTTATTGTGATTATCGTGCAAAGTAGTTACGCAATTTCTACGGGCTTCGGATTTGATTCATATTTTGATAATGATCGAAAGTATGTCTAGATTTTTAAGATGGAAAATTGAACTTATCTGCGTTAAATCTTCCACAAATCCTATATCTAGACACAATTACAATAATGTTTATCACTTTCTATCTGTACTTTCGAACTGAAACATAATTATTTAATATTAAATAGAGGAACAAATGTTTGCCCAATATGGCGGGTGGTTGTGTATAATCATGGCATCGTCCATGTTGTCCTTAGTTTTAGAATATTTTGGTGTAGCCTGCAGGTGTTATACAACAATTTGACAAATGTCTGAAATGAAATACCGACAGAGTCGAATGATTTACCCAGAATTTGTATCAGATCTATATCTTCTGTTTGAACAGTTGATAAAACCTTTTGAACCAATATGCATGCGTTGTTTGTCCTAAAACATTGGTTATGGCATTTTAACAAAAATATGACAGCTGAAAGTTAGGTTATGGTGAAGTTGTATACCAACATATTTAGCATATGTACAGCCTTTAACAGTTACTAAACAACAGTTGTATAAGTGCTTCCGTTGGGAGCAATTTGTTGGCTAAAGTAGTAAATTGCACAGCAAAAGAACAAGGCTCGTTACAATGGATGCCACAACACAACCATTTTTACTAACGTGCAAATATGCCGTATAAAATAGTTGTATAAACGTTTATGCAACAGTTACAAATTTGCCCTATAAGGTGTTGGATAACTATGCTATAAGAATATCTTAAACACCTCATTTTAGAGCAAATATGTTGCAGAAAGCAAATTTGCATTCCACACAACATTAAGTCAGCATTTTGGTGTTCAGGCAACAACAATAGAGAGCTTTTATGGCTGAACGGTTCTTTTACCAAAAGCTTATACCACTACTTTGCTAGTTGGGTGGCATGTACAACCACTCCTTCGTTCCTACAGTGTCCGGAACAGTCTGATATTGTCAGTTCTACTAGCTTTAATTAAAAAAAATCTGCCTAACAAGCTCCTCGTAGCAGTCGGAGTGCCGCGGTATTTAGGTGTCTTTCTTCACGACTGCTATATAGTATGAATAAACTGCTAATGTATACTAAAATAACTATTGTACTTGTTCAGGTGAGGAGGCGCAGAAGAAAGAAGAGAAGCAAGGCCACAAGAAGGGCCATAAGGTGAAGGGCTTCAAGAAATCCCACCACTTGGACGAAACAGGCAAAACGGAAGAGTTCTACGACGAATCCCACGACGAAGGCGACAACTTCGAGTTCAAGGGTAATAAGGGCCACTACGGCGAAGGCGCAGGTTCATCGTTCAAAGGAGGTAATGAAGAGAAGAAGTACAACAGCGAAGAAGCTAAGAAAGAAGGACACTACAACCATGAGCATGCTGCAGAGCACAAAAAGGGCAACAGCGGGGAGCATGGCGCCAAAGAGTTCAAGGGCAGTGATGCTGCGTATGCGCTCAGCAAAGGAGGGGATGAACACAGCTTGCTGGGCAACCAGGAGTCCAGCAAGTTCTATAAGAGCCAGCCGTTCATTGTACCTATCAAAGATTGAAAGGGTTGAGATGTAGTTCACGCAATTAGGGGTCTGATTTCAGATGAAATTTCAAGTAATTGCTACGTACGGAGTCAATTTTGGATATAAGAATAGATACTTGTAGTATAAAAATATGGCAAAAACCAACAGAATTGAGAGATGTTTTTTCTCTGTGCCCAAGAAGCATTGATATATTATATTGATATAGAGTTCAGCTGAGTCGAAAAGTCTGGCGACCCACCAACTTAATTGAGTTCTCTGACGATATAGTGATTATAAACGTCCTTTTTTGGGCAGAAAAACCATCCTCAGGTCCAGGAAAATCAAAGGATACCTTATTCCAGCGTAGTCAGGTATTTCATTAGAGGTGAAGTTGTTGCAAGTTATTTGAACCAATGTGTTGGCCCTAAACTTCAAATAAAAACTCATCCATTTTCTCAAATCATTGATTCCTGTTTAGTAATGCAGGAAACTAGGGTTTGACTATTGGCGAACGAGCTGGAAACTAAGATGAAGCTAAGCGCCATGCAATCCTTTTGTTGTAAAAAATTCAGTTTATTCGTAAAATGGCGAATGAGCCGCTTCTTGTCTCAGGAGTCCTTTTTCCGTGAGCGTCCATAACAAACTCGTTAGAACCTCTGATTGTGTGAACTATGACACGCAAAAACTGAACCTTATTTTGTATGAAAACGTGTGCTAGCTAGTCAAATATGTTATACCTACGCATTTGTTCGTAACTGTGTTTTTCATACCCAAATTGACAATTACATAATCTGGCCATGACAGTAGCTTGAGCGTAAATCAATTTATGCTTTTTCAGGTAATCGATTGAACCTAGTTGGTAAGGTTTTATAATGTGAGAGTTGTTGGTAACGATATTAAAGTCATTATAATTGATTATTTGTGTAAAAATAGCAATAGGTCCAAAACAATCCTGACATACTAATACGATTGCGCAATAATTTAATATAATTATTTCCATTAATTCGGATGTAGTGGCAGGTTATGTAAAGTGACAGAATGGTATAGACGCTGATTCAAAGATCTGTTGCGACACATCTTCGACAATCATATTCCAGAATCTTGAAAGCATCTGAATTGGATATAAATGTCAAAGGCTGATGAATGAATTCAGAAAAGTAAATGTAGAAAATTGTGTCTGACAACGTATACATCACTATCGAAATCAGAATCTTTTGGTGTGGATACTTCAAGCTGCGTCCATCCTGTACGGATTTTGAGATTAAAATAAAATTACAAGCACAATATTCTTAACATTAAGGTAACACCAGTAGTTAGATGTTACCAACACGTCTTACCAAATGAACTTATATGTTTTGTTGAATGTTTTTGAAGCAATTGAAAATGTAACAAAGATTTGTTTGAATTGTATATAGCTATTATTACACTTTTATTGTTATTTATTAAAATTATGCAAGTTCATGTTGTATTTTTTACTTCCTCCGCTATAAAGATAAGAAAATTAATTCATGTCAAACTGTAATTAAGAAAAATACTTCATTAGCATTTTTATTCACTTTAGAGGTTGAGTTAAATTTACACGCTTAAAGGTTGATTCTCACTATACATTCCGTTTCCATTCCATATCAGTTTCGTAAACGTTCCGTACAATGTGATAGTATACACAGTATACCTTACGAATAATGTGCATACACACGCAATAGCCTGCTTTAAGCGAAGGCGAATATTTAATTTCAATAATTTACGGAACGGTTACGGAGTGGAAACGGAATGTATAGTGAGAATCAACCTTAAATTATCTACATGCGTTTAGTATCAATATAAATTGACGAAAACGAATAATGATTATATTGCAATTAGTCCATTGAAACAAATAAAATAATTGATACTATCAATTCTATAAACTGAATGCAGTCCAAATGAAAAAGAACTAAATCATTTTTTCAATGCAAGGTTGCATATCTTGTAAGTGAAACCACACAAAAAGTCAATGAAAAAATGGTAACCTGTACTGCTACCGCTCATAAAATGAAAGTTATTAAACATTACATAAAAATATTAGTACCAAGGTACTTCCTCTAACGATTCTATATGAAAAAAATGATATTCGCACTGCATATTACTAAAACATTCCGTACTGCAGAAATGATGAAATGCTTCATTGGTGACTCGAACTGTAGCTTAGATCTGAACTTTACTCACACAAATGTGGTAAGCAGCCACTATTGTACCTTAACTAATAAGCCTAGTGGTGATGATGGATGACTGAGATCAGCGTTCTGCCATTTGTTTCCGCTGGTCGGAGTCGAGATCACCCAGGACTTGATTTGGAGCATAAGTCGTCAATTGCAACAGTGAGGTTATTTGTTTGCGACTGAAAGTAATTTTCTTCACAAAATCTCATCACGCTGTACAAGGCCCTTATGAGACCCAGCCTCGACTACTGCTCACGTGATAGGGGTGCTGACACTTCTCTAACGGTCAGTTTCGGGACCGACGGTGACGGGCGTTTGGCGATTTGGTTCTCTTTTACCACTATGCCAACAGGCTTTACTCCTCAGAGCTCCGTAATTTCGATACTAGCGCGCATTGAGCCTGCCAGACGGACACGTTAGGCCTCTGCTTCTCATCCTCACTCTAGCTATCCAGTACTACCACTTATTTAGCCCTGATAAGCTTTTACTTGATCTTCTAGCCTTACGTTTTTCCAAACTTTACTAAAGCATTTGACACCATTAATCACTCACTTCTTGTATCTAAATGCAGTTATTATGGATTTTCTGAAAAACCTCTTTCGTTTATTCAAACCTACCTTGAAAATCGGTATCAAAAAGTTCGTCTAAACCAACAGTACTCTACGGAACAAAAAATTTGTTCTGGTATACCACAGGGATCAGTTTTAGGACCGCTATTATTTTCATTATATATCTCAGATTTAGAAACAGAGGTAAAATCATGCAGCATACAATTTTTTGCAGATGATACTCAAATTTTCTATTCATTTAGGAGTAATGACTTGGAAACGGCAAATAATAAAATTAATCAAGATCTTGCCCAAATTGAAAAGTTCAGTAGTAGTCATAATCTTCGTTTGAACCCTTTGAAGACAAATATGTTGGTATACGCAAATAGAACAAAAAAGAATACCTACCTTAAAAAAGACATAGACATACATTTAAAAGGTAATAAATTAATTCCTGTAGATCATTCGAAAAACCTAGGTATTATAATGGATGATGACTTAAAATTTGTTGCACACGTGAACTATCTAATTACTCAGTGCTACGCTATTCTCAGAGTTTTATTTGCAAATAAGGCTATATTACATAAATCTGCGAGAAAGCAATGTGTGAATATTTAGTGTTTTCAAAGATATCGTATTGCTTAGTGGTTTACTATCCCTATTTTGATGTTATAACAAGAAATAGTATTCAAAGTATTATGAATACATGTTGCAGACTTGTAAATGATCTCAGAAAATATGATCATATATCGAATGCCATTAATGAACTCAAATGGATGAAAATTGATAAAATGTGTAAGTACCAGCTCCTAAATCTCATAAGGTTCTTTATTCAAAAACACCATCATATTTAGTAAACAAATTCATACGTAGAGGGAATATGCATCGTATTAATATTAGATATAGAGAGACTTTTTCAATTCCACGCCACAGCACGTCTCTATTTCAGAATACATACATTTACAATGCGATCAAATCATATAATTCTTTAGACCGCAGTTTAAAAGAAACCAATCCATTATCCAAATTCAAGAAAAAAGTGAAAGAAGTTCTTCTTGATCAGCAGCGAAATCGGTTGTAACCCATAAATGTCCTCATATTTTCCTTATGTATTTACTTGGATTATACTTTATTCTCTCGTTATTGTATACAGGTGCCTATTAATTTTCAACAAATTCTTTTTTTTGTATCTCGTATTGTTAAGGGGGTTAGATGGTAGAATAGATATATAATCTAAATCTCGCCTCCTGTAAGAATATTACAAATAAAAGGCGTTAATTATTATTATTATTATTATTCGTCCAGTCATCGGGGTAAGCTTCTAAGGAGATGATTTATGTCTCTTAAGGTATGTATCTGATCTCAATATAGCTGTAGCTGTCAGCAGTGCTAACGTTTGTAGAGGATGAGGTAAAGAAGCTACTCTTCATCCCATCATACGAGGGTTGTTTCAGAAATAAGGTTCCCACATTCTTTTCAGGCACAAAGAATGCACGATTGGAAACGTTGATCTTTAAGCTGTTTCTCTCCTGAGTCGCAATTCATGATACGCTTTTTTAGACGTGAAATCCACCTATGCACTTCCGCCTCAAAGAAGTGCCACGCCTTTTTTTGGTTAATTAATAAAACACAATGATAAATACTATCTATCGGTTGGTCCAAGCAAAACAGTTGTCTAGTGTCGTGCCAATTTAGGCCCTAGCTCAATAAAGCGGAGAGAGCCAAATAAACAAGATATCAAATGAATCACAATATATTGATTAATTAAAAAAATACGCACATGTGCTCCACAACTGGAGTGCGAGTAATAAAAAAATGAAAGGATGTTATAAATCTTAAATACAACCCGACAAAATGATTTTTCGAGATAACCCCGCGAAACGTCTACCATGGTATACGCCCGATGTATTTAAAAATATTTTGCGCCGAAATACTAAACTTATCTGTAGGACTTCTTTGTCAGGCACGGCCGAGATGTCCCCGACTCTGGTCAAAAAGTAGCCAGGAGTGGGCACGTCACTGCGCAGGGGCTGCTGGCCTCGTTGCCAAAAATTATGGTGGTAACACAAAAAAAAACCTAGAAAGGGAGAGACTGTTTAAAAATCTACTCTACTCGCTGTGTGAAATAAAACTACTCATTGAAAACAATCGCACTTGAGGCAATACCATGTACATTTTTTTCGTACAAGGAAAGTAAAGCAAATGAAAAAAAAAGATAAAATGTACTAAACTAATACACCCTTGTTCTAAAAAGTTATGGCAGATCAAAAATCAAAATCATGGTCAATGTAATAGAATTGAATAGAATACGTAGAATGTCCAATAAAACAAGAAGTCTCTAAGAATTTCAATAAGCAATAATAAATGTATAAAGATCTATGAAATTGTTAATCAGAATGATATTTTCTTCTGTTTCGCTGAGGGTCAAAATCCCTTAAAAAATGGAAGGCGTAGCATCGAAACCAAAATAACTAAACTTAAGTTACACAACAAAAAAAGGGTAATAGTCCATGAATGGGCGTTTGGGGAGTAATATCCCAGAGTCCGAAAAACGACGAAACGACCCCTGCACCACAACCTCAACGGCAACAGAAAAGCGAATCACGCAGAATACGTAACGTTCTATGAGAAGCAATCTTGAGTGGCCTTGAAGAAGATATGTTTTATAGGAAGCCAACAAACTAACGGAGAAAAACTACAAGAAAGGTATAATTCGAGTGAAATTTTACAATCAATAAACTATTAAATTTGCCAAAAGAAAATCATTGAAAAGGGTTTGGCCTAGGAATGGCTCAATGAAGAGCGGTGGCCGCAATAGTAGACTCTTCGGTCTCCTGATCAGTCGCCGTGCGCTGTGCGGGTTCGAGTCCCGTCCCTGGAGAAACTTTTCTCTTGGCTATGGATGTTGTGATTGTCCGTAAGTGGTAGACGGTCTCTGACTGTCGAACGCGGAGGTACCAGGCGTACCCGGCGGTTCTCGTAGGCGGAGCCAGAATGTGTGCACACGTGTTCCCTCGCCAGAGTCCGTGTGGCGTTCCCCCTTTCCCATGTATCCCCCTATAGCCCCACGGTACCCAATGGGTGCTTAGGCCTTAGGCCTTCGTGGTAGTTGGAGTATAAAAAAAACAAAAAAAGAGAAATTCAAATTACGGATAAGTGATAAATAGTAAAAAAATGTTACGGGAATTTTGGCACGTGACAGAAGTCTACCGCCAGTCCGTTTACAAACTTGACAACTACTCCTCGTCCATTTCCGCCTAGGTGCTCCCTCAATTACTTCCCAGCCAAGTCGTACGATTAAATCCTTCGTTTGTTGTGAGACCTGAGGATGTGCATTGTTGTGGTGCAGCGTGGTCTCAGCGGTTTCAGAAGCCTCAGGAATATCAACCGCCTGTTCCCGGATCGTGATTCGCCGATCTTCGGGCAAGATTTGTTCAATCTTCGCCACAACTTCCTCGGAGATCGACGGCCTCCTACTTGGTTGTTCATCGTGGATGTCCGTGCGGTCACCAGAGTACTCGCTTCACCATTTGAGGACATGTTGAATGCTTATACACGTTTTTTCACATACTTCACTCAACTGGCGATGCATTTCTATGGGTGGTAACGTTTTTGAGTGAAAAAATCGGATAACCGCATGAATTTCGCACCTGACGGTGATGGCGATGAAGGACTTGCATGTAGCTGTCGCGCCGGTACTGAGCATCCCA